AAAAGGTTTTTATTAAAAAATATCGGCAATATTTAAATATATAAGAGGAATATAGGGTCTATCTAGTCTGCCGGGACTTTAAACTAGCCATTCCTTGGAGTCCTTGACTCGGGGTCTGGTATTTTTATCTGCTTCAGCGGAAGTTAGTTGATCCACAGGATACGTTCTGTAACCTACAATCGGTAAAGGTGCCTTCTAGGTCCACGGAAGAGAATGTTGGTTTAAAGATCGATGTATGTATGGTGAAGTCTATATTTTGCGATAAATTCGGTGCTGTTGCCGAACATCAGATAGCCCTCAGAGCAGTGACAGTGGGGCTAAATGTTGCTAAATAATGATAAATAAATGAGATCTGAGATAAATCAGAGGTATGCCGACTTCGAATCACCTGTATTCCTATTTTAAGGCGTTTGACAAGAGTTGTACGTTGGGTTGAATGGTAATAGATGGATGGTATTTTTATCGTGTAATTTTTCTTCTCTGTCAGAATATGTGCAAACTATATTTTATTGATGCAGACTATATATCGGTCCACCAAATATGTCTCATTTCTGCAGCAACAAAGGCCATTTCAGTCTCGTTTTTGTGGATTATTTTCGTGGAATCCGGAATTGCCGGACAGGAAGCAATGGAACTGCGATGGTCAGAGATTTGATAGGTTAAGAACCTATTCGAGCAAAGTTTGCTGTCCGCCATGGGGCTCTGCCCGGGGGCATGTTACCTTGGTGAAATCTCTATCTTGGCGTTATTGCTATATCCCGGCGAAAAGAGGTGCTACCAATACCTCTAGTCTACCGGGCCTATAAACTGGTGATGCTGAAATGTATACTCGACCTTTCCTCGGAATGATTTGACAAGGGGTCGAAACAGAGCACCAGATAATCTGGTAGTGGGTGGCCAGTTGCCCACCTTTGTCCTGGCTGGTCAGTTGGTTGAGGTTCCTTCGTGATCCATGTAGTGGCTTGGGTTTATACCCAAATTCGCTGGAATTGAATGTTGTTTTAAGGACTGATATATCCTATGCCATATACATATATCTGGATTCTCTCTCCGGTGCTGTTGCCATCTCAACCGATGTTACTGGGTGATGTGACAGAGCAACTTATACTCGATTCTGAACCCGTGAAATATCTCTTACTCTTCACGTAGTAGGGCGCCAGTATAGGTTGGGGAATTTTCAGGTTGACCCTTGGTAGTTGCCTGTCATTCCGTAGATCGTTATTTATGGTCTTTATGGAACTGATGTAAGTTGGTGAACGATCGGGAGAAACGCCTCTGCCCAACAGGATACTAGTACTGATCTAGTTTACCTTTTACTTGTTTCATGCTACGCGACTTATGGTTGAGGCCCACCCCTCGGACTACCAAATACGGGCTGTTGCCAAAGCAACAGAGCCATCTCAGTAGTGTGGTTGCGCTAATTCTCACATACAGGTAGAGGCAATTTGCTTATTAATTAAATAAATTCCGATAATAGACTATAATAGTCTATTAGACCAGAACATTCTTAGCAAATACTCGATACAAGGCTAACTAGGCCAATTTATAATTATTACAAGGCTCAGGCTGTTATTATGCGCTGATGAAAAATCTTGGATTTCTATCAAAAGTGCAAAGTTTTTTCAAGTAAAATGAATTTATTCCAACTATAGATTGGAAGAATTGCATATCGCCCACTAACTAATAAATTATTTTATTTCGACTAAAATTAAAAATCTAAATTGAGAATCTTCATTTAACTTAAAGTATTTTGAGAGCTATCCTAATCTATTACATTCATATATTTGCATGCATGTATGTCTGAATATCCTTCCCACATACACTTAAATGTATTGTTTACATGTAAATGTGTTTGTAATTGTTATTGTTGTTTTTGATACAGTTTTTGTTACAGTTTTTGTTGAACAACCTGGGGGCAGCATATTTTTGAAAGTATAACAAAATATGACCCTGTAGTTTTAATGGGAGTCAATGTATCTGTTTTTGGGTTGATTCTAATTTACCTCTGTTTGATTAAGTATACTTCTCTTTGCAGTGATAATGTTCATTATCACTTTTATGTCCGTCAATAGTCTAGGGAGAAGACTTTAGATTGTTGTTATTGTTTCTATCAGATGTAATATGTTAAAGGATCAATCGACTGCATAGATTTTAAGTAAAATGTGTTAAAAATCTATGACCAAAACGAATTCTATGAAGTCAACAGTTCGGAACAGTCACCACGAACTGCAGGGAATTGTTTCGAGTGTATGTGTCAGTTATTTTTTTTGTATAAGTGTTTGTAATTTTAAGTATGTGGGTTCCTTATTTGTAATTGTATTGTTTTGCTACACTTTTAAAAATATAGAAACAAAATTGTTAAAATCATTGAAGGAACTTTTTTGGAAGAAAATGTATGTGTATTTAAACTAAACTAAAAACTTGAATGTTGATGATTATAATAATGATCTTCTCATAATCCCCTATATTCAGTAATACGTTGATAAGAAAATTCTTTAGATCCTTTTTAGTTTGATTCTTAACTAATCGATGAGAGTCGCTGTTGTGTTAATAAACAGCTTTAATGTTAAAATTTTAATTCAAAAACATTTCAAATTCTACAACGGAAGTATAAAATTTCCTTTTAAAATTTTCATATTTTAAAAACTTTCTTCAATTCTACACTGTTAACCGTTCGCCTATTGTGAAAAATATACGAAAAAATAAAACCGAAAAAAGAAAAAGTTTTAGATTTACCACAGGATGTGAATAATTTCCCCACAAACAGAAGTTCCCCTATATATTTGAATAAAAAATTATTTCGTTCTTTTAACACATGTGTGGAATTTTGCAGTCTCCCTGTTTTATAAAACAAAGTTTTCTATTTTTTTTTTTGGATTTTTCCTTCCGTGTATATTAAATTGGGGTTAGTGGTAAAACCACTACTACTACACTATCAAGGAATTTGAAAATTTTTGTTCAGTCTTTTGTTCTTTTTTTTTGTATTTTTAACTTAAACCGGATGTTGTATTTGGGAGAAATTATACACATACCAAGACAATCAACATGAAAAAAAAAAAACATTACAAAAAAGGAAAGAAAGCAGAGAAATGAAAAAAATTCAAAACATATTGTTATGAAATGTTTCTATTCTATGCTTTTTTTGTAACACTTTTTTCATTTAATGCCAGCTATTATTTGCTTTTTCTAGTCGAAAGAAGGTGCTTTTTAAGTATTTTTTGAAATTGTATTTTTTTCACAACTTGTTGCCTTTTGTTAATGCAAAAATCTATAAAAAGTCATTTAGGTAAATAAGTATAAAAATACATACACATACATATAATAATAATATGTATGAAAATATCAACAACGACAATCCGAAAATATGAAGGTTGAAGTAGAATTTTTATTGTTGTTCATTTAGAACAAATAAAAAACAAAAGTCTGTCATGACCAACTGTATTATGCCCTACACAAATACATATAAAATCTTTCTCGGACGTAGGAGTTATATCAGAACTATGACTACTTATTGCGAGATCATCAAAAATCTGATGTGTCCAAAACATACTCTATGTATGACATACGAACGAACGAACGAACGAACGAACGAACTAACTAACTAACTAGCTAACTAACTAACTAACTAACTAACTAACTAACTAACTAACTAACTAACTAACTAACTAACTAACTAACTAACTAACTAACTAACTAACTAACTAACTAACTAACTAACTAACTAACTAACTAACTAACTAACTAACTAACTAACTAACTAACTAACTAACTAACTAACTAACTAACTAACTAACTAACTAACTAACTAACTAACTAACTAACTAACTAACTAACTAACTAACTAACTAACTAACTAACTAACTAACTAACTAACTAACTAACTAACTAACTAACTAACTAACTAACTAACTAACTAACTAACTAACTAACTAACTAACTAACTAACTAACTAACTAACTAACTAACTAACTAACTAACTAACTAACTAACCAACTAACTAACTAACTAACTAACTAACTAACTAACTAACTAACTAACTAACTAACTAACTAACTAACTAACTAACTAACTAACTAACTAACTAACTAACTAACTAACTAACTAACTAACTAACTAACTAACTACTATTAATTAATTAACTACTATCTATCTATCTATCTATCTATCTATCTATCTATCTATCTATCTATCTATCTATCTATCTATCTATCTATCTATCTATCTATCTATCTATCTATCTATCTATCTATCTATCTATATCTATCTATCTATCTATCTATCTATCTATCTATCTATCTAACCAAGGACTTAAATAGATTAAAACAAGTTTTCATTCCTAATAACATTGAGTTATCCTAAAAATTTGTTACTATCTATATAACCAAGGACTTAAAAAATAGATTAAAACAAGTTTTCATTCCCAATAACATTGAGTTATCCTAAAAATATGTTACTGGCGTTACAAACATTAGCATAGTCTCATTATACCCTCCCCACTATTGTAGTCTAGATTTGATCACAGTGAAAAGAAACCTGAACAGGAAATCGGATGTAGTAATATTTTAACTGTAAACCTTAGGGCTATACAGCAAAGTAACTAAATAATTTAGGAAATACTTGTACACGACATATGAGAATTAAGAATTGTGTTTTTATTTTTGTTTTTAACCACAGACTTTTGGCCTGTAAAAAAAGGACCCTGAAGGGATAGAAACTGTGATAGTTGTTAAACACTAAAAACTTAACAAAAATGTTCAGGAAAAAAGTTTAAAGTTAGATTCGAGCACCAATGAACTTCATAAATAGAATAGATTTCCTATAAGTGTGATATTCCTTTTATGACATTCTGAATATCTAAGTGTCTGTTCTATGCTGATATTTGATGTAAATACAAGAGAGGCACTGAAAGTATCAACTTGATTATAATTTATTTTTTTTATATTCTTTAACTTAATTTGATAATTTGATTAATATTTTATTCTTCTTTTTTATAATTTCAGGTAAGCACAATTCCTAAGCTTATTTTTATAAGAAGTCATTTTCAAAATGTCGGTAAGTTATTCAAAAATCTCGTCTGAGAAAATGAAAGAGGCCTTTATAAGAAATTGGAAAGATTTGAAGTGTATGTATAAGTATATGGATAAGTCTATTGAATATGAATTTGAGAACTAGTATATTGACTGGTCTATTCATTTATGTATGGACCAGTTTATGTATTAGTCTTTGAACTTATCTATTAACTAGTCTATGGGGTAGTCCATTGGCTACTCTAACTAGTCTTTGGACTAGTCTATGAACTATTATATTAACTAATCTATGGACTAGACTATAGACTAGTCTATGGACTTGTCTGTGTACTAGCCTATTAGTCTATGGACTCCATAGGTTAGTCTATCTTCTATTTTTATAACTGTTTCAAATTAAACTTGATCCCCTTAAAATACATCTATTTGATTTTTTCTCTTTTCTCATTTTGGGAAACCTTTTCAATCTTCCTTACTTCTTACCTTACAAGTACTTCATACAAAGTGTTCTCAAAAAAGAAATTGCCTTTTTTAATGAAGATTAATTTCAGTCTTATTGGCACTTGTATCAATGTCAGTTTTTGGGCTTCGACAATATGCAATGAGATCTAAATGTGCAAAAAAGACACAGTAATAGTGATATTACCACTTAATGGCAAATGGTCATGTTAACAATTGTCAATGTTAATGTGAATAAATTTGTCTTGTGATGAACAAAATGTCAAAGAAAATATAGCATATCATGTTTTGTAAATATAAAGTAATAAATTTTGTGACAATAAGAAGTATTAAGGAAACACGACTTTAATAAAGTGATTAATATGAGACAAATTTTTCGACATATTTTGTTTCAATAATAAAGTTTTGTTAAGCTGTTATAAATAGGTCTTTAAAAAAATGTGTCCTATGTAGTAAAATTTTCTTTGTTTTCCATGAGACCCTTAGCGGCCTGGGTCTTCTTTTCGGAAATTCAAAAATTTCTTAAGAATTTAAAATAATTTCCATTAAAATAAGTTAAATTTCTAAAAATGTTCTAAATTATGCATTAAAAAGTTTTTTTTAGTAAAAAGTTCTATTCAAATACTTTTTTTAATTTAAACAACAATTTAAATTCAAATTTTTCATTTTTAAAATCCTACATTAACATTTTTCTGCAATTTATTTTGTTAGAAAACAAGACAGAAGCACTTTCAACAGGAATAACAACAGCACAAAAGTATGCAATAAAAACAAAAAAGCATTTACACACACATACAGCTGAACACACACAGTATGAGTCAGAATTTAAGTAACACAAATATTTTATCCAGGCATAACAACTACATACTAGGTAATGGGTATTAGTGGAATAAGTAGTACCATCATGAAGAAAAAAAAAACAGCAGGAGAGTAGCAAGTAGTGTGGGAGTAAACAATAACAACAATGTTGAGGAGAAGAGGAGGAAAAACAAGATATAGTATCCCAATATTACTAACATATAGTGAATGTAACCATAAAAGGCAAATTGTAACAAGAAGAAAACTAAGAAAGAAAAGTAATAAAAACAACAAAAGAAAATTAACCAAGAATATAATATAATATGTCAAGTATTTGTTGTTATTGTTTATTGCATTTACTGCTCAACAAAAACTATAATATAGAAAATCTAAACAACAGCAACAACAATAATAAAACATGCAAATGTCAAAGTAATAAAACCCGGAAATTCGAAGGACATTTTCGAATATTACAACATTTTAGCACACATACACAAACACATATTTACAAACCCCTACAGTTACTTTAGTAAATAAATAATGGCAGAAAACCCCGTTATAATGTGGGTAGAAAAGAAAATAAAACGCAAAACACAAACAATAAACAGATGTTTTTACTCTCAATAGCATCCAAAAACAGAAATTATAACAGTTTTACTGTTAATTGCAAAAATATAAATACAAAGAAATAGAGAGAGAGAGAGAGAGAGAGTGTTTGTGTTTTAGAGAAAAGCTTTTTATGTTTGGTTATGTTTGTGTGTGTAATAGAGAACATTTGCCTTAATGGCGCTCTAAACAAGTTTTTTGCAAAAGTGTTAGAATTTAAAAAGCGCATGATTTTCTTTAATAAAAACACACACAAAATGTTCGAAAATTTTATAGTATTTTCGAACATTATGTTCGAATTTCTTAAAAAAAAATTTTGTTGTTTTTTCATTCGCTTTAACAAAGCAAAATAAAAATAAATATTCTTTTTGGCAAAAGCATTAGAAATGAGTAACAAAACCTAAAAAAGAGCACAAATAACAGAAACAAAGAGAGAGAGAACGCTTTTGAATTTGTGTAGAAATGTGTGTTTGTCTAATATTATTAAAATTATAAACTGTGTATGAGTATTTGAAATGTTGTAATAAATTATTAAACAATTTGTTTTGTATGGTTGTTGTTGTATGTACATTTGCCATTTATGCCGGCAATTATTTTATTACATACCAACAAACTTACATACAGACAAACATTCAAATAATTTCGTTTTCTCAATTACGTTAGAAACACAAATTGTGATTAGATTTGTTGTAGTATACTTTAAGCAAACCGACCCCATAATTATTTTTCCGTTTATTTTTTGTTTTTTTGTACCTTCTCTGAACTTGTTTTAGAATTCCTTGTAGGGCGAGGTGTTAGTAAGTGGGGGTAGGAGAGGTGTTAACATTTCTCTGGTAATCGTGTCGAAAAATTTACAACAACCAGCTAATACCTAATTATGATTACAACGGCCTGTTAGGGTTATTATTATGTTTTTTTGGGGGGTAAGAAAATCTAATTTGACTTTTTCTTATGCTTATTAAAGGGTTAATTATAAATAATAACCTTTATTGTGTCATATTTTTTAGGGGATTTGTTTGCTAAAAAATCATAAATATAAAAACTAGGGGATGTAGGTTTTCGTATAACGTACGTCAAATGTGGCTTATTAAGCGTTTTTTAAATACAATTTAGAAAAATAATTAAATTATTTGTAATTATTTTCCAAGATATTTAAATATTTCAACTTCATTTATATACATAATTCTAATTAATACTTAATAACTTTTCGCATTTGACCTAAATTTAAATATCATTTACCGATTTCGAGAAAAAGTTCCATTAGATATGTATTATAACGGAGTTGAAAGAAATGCAGTTAGTTAGTTAGTTAGTTAGTTAGTTAGTTAGTTAGTTAGTTAGTCAGTCAGTTAGTTAGTTAGTTAGTTAGTTAGTTAGTTAGTTAGTAGTTAGTTAGTTAGTTAGTTAGTTAGTTAGTTAGTTAGTTAGTTAGTTAGTTAGTTAGTTAGTTAGTTAGTTAGTTAGTTAGTTAGTTAGTTAGTTAGTTAGTTAGTTAGTTAGTTAGTTAGTTAGTTAGTTAGTTAGTTAGTTAGTTAGTTAGTTAGTTAGTTAGTTAGTTAGTTAGTTAGTTAGTTAGTTAGTTAGTTAGTTAGTTAGTTAGTTAGTTAGTTAGTTAGTTAGTTAGTTAGTTAGTTAGTTAGTAGTTAGTTAGTTAGTTAGTTAGTTAGTTAGTTAGTAGTTAGTTAGTTAGTTAGTTAGTTAGTTAGTTAGTTAGTTAGTTAGTTAGTTAGTTAGTTAGTTAGTTAGTTAGTTAGTTAGTTAGTTAGTTAGTTAGTTAGTTAGTTAGTTAGTTAGTTAGTTAGTAGTTAGTTAGTTAGTTAGTTAGTTAGTTAGTTAGTTAGTTAGTTAGTTAGTTAGTTAGTTAGTTAGTTAGTTAGTTAGTTAGTTAGTTAGTTAGTTAGTTAGTTAGTTAGTTAGTTAGTTAGTTAGTTCGTTCGTTCGTTCGTTCGTTCGTTTGTTCGTTCGTTCGTTCGTTTCGTTCGTTCGTTTCGTTCGTTCGTTCGTTCTTTTCGTTCGTTCGTTCGTTCGTTTTTCGTTCGTTAGTTCGTTCGTTCGTTCGTTCGTTCGTTTTCGTTCGTTCGTTCGTTCGTTCGTTCGTTCGTTTCGTTCGTTCGTTCGTTCGTTCGTTCGTGTTCGTTCGTTCGTTCGTTGTTTCGTTCGTTTCGTTCGTTCGTTTCGTTCGTTCGTTTCGTTTTAGTTCGTTCGTTCGTTCGTCCTTTCTTCCCTCCGGCCCTATTTTAATGTCACCCTTTAAAAATTTTTGATACCGAGGGGACCAGGTACATGCTAAAAACGCCTATATTCTATGGAAATTATATTTCAATTTTAACATTTTTGTTTACGCAAAAATTCAAAAAAAGCTACTTTTGCCATAATTTAAAAAAATCTTTCATAAATTTCTTAATTGCTTAATGATTTATACAGTTTTAAAAACTAGACATAATTTCCAATCCCTTGATATATAAAACGTCTATCATGTTCTATTCAAATGAAAAATTGAGGAAGAAATATTTAATATATCATGATAACACTGGCTCCTTATGTTTTTTTCATCCATAATATGTATACGTGGCGTGCGAAAAATTTAATTTTGAAAATTTAATTAGGATTTTGATCCCATCGCCGATGTTGCTGAAACTTCTAGAAAGCATGTCTGATATACATAGCTATTGAACATTTGAATCCCGAAGCTAAATAGGTCGTCAGAAAATTGATTTCATCAAATATGCAGACGGACATAGCTTAATTGACTAATCACTAATATGTCTGCAAACAAAATAAAACAAAATTATTGTCCATTTTACCCACCTTCGACTGTACTTTTAATTTTTGATTAAAATTTGATCACAATGTGTGTAGCATACAATGAATTTGCATTTTTTTTATGTTGATGGTACGTTAAAAATTTTATAGCTTTTTTAACGTACCATCAACATTGACAACATTGTTGTTGTGTTTCACATGCGAACTCGTGCTTGTATGTAAATTTTTTGAGCATAAAATTACTACTAGATTTATGTGTTGTTAACCTTGAAACTCATCATCCTAAAACATAGTGAGTAGCGTACAAATAAGAGAAAAACAATGTCTACTAAAAATAATGTTCATGTTGTTGTCGTTATTAAATAGTTATGTACGTATAAGCAGGGTTGGAAATGTTAGTACTTTGGGTACTTTTTGAAAACTTAGGAAATTGTGGAGATTTAAAAACAAACTTTGTTTAGGCAAATTTTAAATTTTTATTTTATGATCTTTCCATCCCAACCCTGACTATGAGTTTGATTTTATATACATTCGTACATAATATATGCATTTGTATTCATATGCATAAATTCATGTATGAGACCTGTCTCATGTTGTTAGGTTTTTTTTGCATTTAATTTAATTATGCTGCTTTAAGTTTATTTGTTTTTAACCCCCCTTCTCTCTCACTGTCTTCGTCTCTTTCCTACACTCTTGTTGTTTATTTTTGAGTTTTTTGCTAAAATATTATGATTATTTTAATACCTAACACGAGTTTTAATTTCTTAAAACAAAATGAACATAAATATTTAAAAGTTAGAAAATTTTGGTTGGTCATACCCGATCCAATTATGCCCTATTCCATTCAAATCATTTCATTCAAAATCAAATTTCATTTATTTATTTTTAAAGAAACAACCTATAGTTTGATTAAAAGGTTCACATGGATGGACAGGAGACATTGCTGAATCGTCTGATAATGCTCCGATGGGGTGTTACAAACATCAGCCTAAACACATAATACTTTCCTCACAGTAGGGTTTAAAACAATAGCGAGAGAAAAAACCTGATTTCCGTATGTGTATTCTAGGGATTAAGCATGATAAACAAGATTTAAAATCTGGTGCTGTAAAAGGGTTTCATTTTTATCTCTTTTTTCGTTTTACAAAATTTCAGTTGTAATTTTTATACGTGAAATGTTTTTAATTACTTAAAAAATTAAATAAAATCAATAAATCATTAAAATTTGTACGTATGACTGGCAGTCAGACTTGTTTTGTATTTGTAAAGTGCCAGAGCACATCAAATAATCAGTTCGACTTTGACTTCTCTTTATAGAAATATACATACATATATAAATGTATGTACTCTCGTATGTAGAATATCAAATTCCAAATGCTGACTGGTACTTTAGTGTACAACTCAGGGCCCCAGTGACATAAGAAAAAGTACTAACTTTAACCCAAAAAGTACTTTCTACTTTAACTGAATATCTACAAAAAATCTTCTGAATATGAAAATCTAATAAACATTTTTAATCTTATTTCGTACTTAATTCAAAAATACATACACTGATACGCATCTTAAAATATAATTCTCATTTAGTTAAGAATATTTTTGCAATTAGTAGTTGAGTTGAATTGCTAATGTCTGTAATATAACTGCGTTTTTTGCAATACAATTTTTTTGCGGAAATGTTGTGAATTCTGAAATCAACTACGCATCACGCTCCATGTAAACCAGCCAGTGCTTTTAATAAAACCGATC